AGGTTCCCCCCCTCCAACTCATCCGCCGTACAGGTCAACTTCACCTGCAGTGCTGTACACTGGCACCACAAGGAATTATTCTGAGCTCTTAGCACTGTGTCATCCTCCTTAGACATTCAGGCACTTTGTAATGGTCTCATAGTTCACTCCTGCTGAGCTAGCTGGAAATTACAAAGAAAAAAAATTAAGTACTTCAGGAACAACCATTGTTGGAAAACAGGCTGCTTTCCAATTATCTTGCTTATAGGTAGCAAGGGAAGCGTGGTTTAATTAATTCTTCACTCTTCCACAATGGTTTGCCTTAACAGGAACTTGAAAGTGCTGCATTCTTCCAACATATCTTTGGCTTCATTTGCTTTAGTCCTCACATCACATTCCACATGGTAGACCCTCAAGGCTGATCTATGCCCACCTCATTGCGAGTCAGTCCTCCAGTCAGTAAGGCACCATCTTCCACACAGTCCACACAAGAACCTGGGAAGTACAGTTTTTGCCCAAATGCCCAGTCCCACTCCTGTGTATTGGTGCTTCAAGTCCAAGCTGGATGAAGTGTTTTGGAATATAAGTTAAAGTTTGAAATTTCTTTTCCTTGGAGTGCTTTCTAAATCTGCTTTACGGAGAGGATGAGGACAGCACTACTTGAGCACGTCACAGTCCTCAAATGTCATTCCACCATTCTCTTTCATGCCTGCGTATGAACAGACAAGTTTTTGCACAGCTCAGAGGAGAAGAATCCTAGAACATCCTGGACTTCAGCACAAAGCAGCATATAATACCTAGAACACCTTTGCACTGTAGTTGCCAATATCTGGACCTGAACACTAACTGGTATCCTCAGATGCAGATAGACAGGTATGAGCCACCTAGACTAGTTGGGAGTTTTTAGCAAAAACTTTTTTTCAGCTGCCTCACAGAGAGAAATGGCTAAGAGAAAACGTGTTTGTCTCTTACTGCTGTCTACATTTGCTCTTAAAAGATGTATCAAGACATTTATTAACATATATTGGTCTGTGGAGTACTTGCCTGTAAGAAATTTTTCTATTCCTTTGTTTTCCCTCCAGTTGTTCTTTAAGAAACACTAGGTGCATGGAGGCTTAACAGGAAAGAAAAAAATCCATTATTGCCCTTACATCATCTATACATATTGCACAAAAAAAAAAAAAGAATAGGGAACAAAAAAAATAGAAATAAAAAGAAACTTATGGGAACTATCCAGTCTATTCCTTACTGGAACTCTAAATTGTTCTTCTAACTTCAAGTACAATATGCTTTAGTGGTCCATTCATTTTCTTTCCTATAAGAAATTTATATTACTCAAGTGAACTGTGAAGCTTGGTGCCAGTATTTATTTATGAGGCTGCTTAAATTCAGATTACAAAATAATTTGCAATTCTGAGTAAAATGGACTAGTTTCTCTTACTCACATTTTCACAGAACCTCTTTTACCTAGGAATAGCATGTATTTGTTTTAGCAATCTAATGCACCTTATTAAAGCACTGTACAGATTTACTTATATATGTTATAGTACACATCTAGTTACATTTACTTGCACATTTGCAGTTTGATACAAAGAAATAATAAATTTTCCCAAGTACTAAGAAAGGAAAAAAAAATCTCATTCTAATGAATCAAAATTTGTTACATTAAAAAAAACCCAAAAACACTAAACCAGGTACACATCAAAACAGCATTATTATTGGTGCTCTAACATTACCCCTCTAACAGTTCACTATGCCCTGAAAAAGCAGGGAAGCACTTCTGGAAAGCATAGGTAGCTCAATTAAATCTACTGAAATATCATGATTTTTATGCAGCATTACAGCTTTTTTTAATTATGGAAAGTACAGTTCAGCACAAAAAATGTTCAGTGTGTTTCTAAAAAAAGTGAAATACTTTAAAAAACAAATAATTTAAAAGAACAGTTAGCTGCAGAAACAGATTCTCTTTTTTAATTTTACACTGAGTCCTGCTTTTTTAACTCGTGAATAGAAATTCTTAAATATGAAAGTTAAACCTAGTCTGATTTATTTCCATGTCTAGACTGACGGGAATCTTGGGAAGCTTTCATAAAAGCTAAAAAAATTCTGCAGCCAATTACCACTACAGATATGACAGATTTGGAAATTATTGATATACTCCAGAGCTTGAAACCACAAAATCCCCAGCAAATTTTACAGGGTAGAAGACAAGTAGTCATTAAATTGCCTCTTCACTCACACCGCTGTACAATATAAAAAATAATACAGAAACCTCCAAGATGTGACTAGCCATATGGCCTGCCAGCATTTTATCCTTCACTGATGAGATATGAGAAAGATAAGGCTGTATTTCATGTAAAAAAATTAGAAAATTTATAACTATATAATTTGGGTTATTATAGCTCAGATATAATTTGCTTTTCATTAAAATAATCTTTAACTATGCTTTTTAAAATAAGAACTTACAGCTACAGGGACTCTCACAATCGTGACATCAGACTATTTTCCTCATTAAAATATTAAATGAGTAACAACCTCAAGTACTGGGGAATGGGAAAAAAATTGATAATTTCCTCAGTTAAGAAACACTGAGATTCCTTTAGGATGAAGCTCAGAATTTTTTCTTCCTCATTAACACTTGCTGGCTTGCTGTGTACTTCTCCGTGGTGTAGCACAATTGCAGGGCAGAGGATCACTCTCTCTTACCATGGTGTTACCAACCACAGTATTTGGGATGTAGCACAGCTGGATGAAACAAAATTTCTTCACAGACTATGATGCTAAAAATAGCAACCCATTTTCTTCTAATAGTCATAGCCAAGACGCAGATTTTCTTTTTCTTTCACTTGATCACATCCTTTAAGATCTCTTGTAGCTTACCTTGGCTATTTTTCTATCTTGGTTGAGCTTTGAGAACCATCACATAGACACCCCTCTCAATTGTTTGCTTTCTTCCAGGACAGCATGACAGTTCTACAAAAGCAGCTTTAAGACCTAGTGAAAATACAAAGGAAAACAAGAAGGAGAAAAGATTATTTTGTATAATTGGAATTTCTATTCCATCTGTGCTGAGGACTGCATAGGCTCTGCTGAATGAAGCAGAAGATGTAGAGCATACCTGGTGAAGCACTGAGGTTAACTATTATCAATCATCTCTGAAGGCTTTTCTACCTGAAGTGGCTTGAAGTAGGACAGATTATAAAACAGATACGATATATGAAAAATGAAGACTTGTGATGTTGGGTTTTTTTCATCTTCATTTGAGTTTTTCTTATTTGATTTTTAGGTTGGTTTTTGTTTTTAATTTTCATTTTCTCTCATCCAATTCCCAACTGATTGCTGTACAAGGAGGAACAATGGGCAGGGATTTAACTTCTCTTTAAGTGAGGCTTCTAACAGACTTCTATTCAAGTTGTACATTCAAAAACTTGCCTCCTTGGTATTCATGTTTCTCTGTACCGCTATTTAAATTATAAATCACCCACTCAGCAACACACAGCATATACTCCACTGCATTACTTTGTAGTTCCAGGCTTGACCAGCATGGTCTAGAAAGCAAAGAAGCTGTCCTGACCTCCTCCTAGGGCCTGGGCCAGGAAAAAAAAACAAACTTTTTCCTTCAGCATATAACCTCTTGCCTTTGTTGCGGGTAGCAATTGTCTTGCAGGCCTGGAAAAGGGCATATCTATGAAGTCCTTGCAAATCTGGGATCTGTGCTCGCAATGGATGTAATTGTCCTATCTTATATAACTACTTATATTTCATCCATACAAAAAATTACTACAGACCAAGGACAAGGAAGAACAGTATTTTTATTACCAACTTTTACTGATAAGTCCATAGCTCTGTTAGATGCAACATTTCAGGTAGAAAGGCTTTTTGAAAGTTAACAACTCTGCTTTGATTTCATGGCAACGATACAGTCTTAAGTAGCCATTAAAGATGAAGAGAGCAAATTGTATCAGACAGTTTTTATGCTGTTTCTTCAAAAATTAGAGTCCACACCAGGATTTGTGAGAATGACAGAGGTAAGGTTTTCTATCACATAAAAAAAAAATCTTACCCCTGACCAATTTTTTCAATAATAGCTATGATTTTGATGCACTTCTACCTTAAAAAAATATGTAAGTGTGACCTGTCACTTGAAAACAGGGTTGGGGGAGGAGAAGAGGAAGAGAAAACTAATAGTCCACATACTGCTGTTTTAGTCATCTTCTAAGAACTCCATCAGCTACAAAGTACATGAGCTTTACCACTTTAAAAAATTGACTACCTTTAAAATGACTGAATTCCCAGAAAGACAGATAAGAGAGAGTAAATCAGACCAGAAGCCTTTTAGAACAATTTCCTTTCAGATTAAGGGAAAGCTGAAAGGCTGCATAAATGGTATTTCACCTAAGTTACAACATGATAGTCAAGAAAAGGTGTTGATTTTCTGTGCAGTAAAATCCAATTGTCAAGGACAGAAAGGACTGCATTCCCCAGGCTGAGGCAAGGTGTGCCTGGCTATCTAAAGTCATTGCATCTGGCATCTCCAGCAGATGGGGAATGGGAAGTTATCCATTATGTTCTGAGGTCATATTTGCTCTTTCTGAGGAAGTCTAAGGACTGCTGGCCTTTCTGGATTGTGGGGACAATCAGGATAAGGGGAGTGAATATCAAAAGAATGTCCTCAGTGCTATGCAATGCTATTTGGCTGAGGTCACCTAAACCCTGCTCTTTTCACATTAAAAAAATGTTTAAAAAATCAAAACCCGAGTTTGATCCACAGACTGGAAAAGCAAATGTATTCCCTCTGACTTAAGAGGTTTCAAAAGCCTGTGGTAGTCACTGCCACTGGTGAGTGGTGTGAGGTTTGAACAAGCCAAGGCTTATGATCATGGCTAATGACAACAACACCTTAATGATCCCTAGATTTCCTGTTGCTACTGAAACTCAGTTACTGAGACTTCTCTAAAAGTAAACTTCTGGTAAGTTAATCAGTATGAAAATACAAAGAGCCCTTCTTGTTTCTTCCATAGGACTACACCCTGACCATGTACTTTCAGCAGTCCTGGAGGGATAAAAGGCTCTCCTATTCTGGAATACCTTTGAACCTAACTCTGGACAACAGAGTGGCTGACCAGCTCTGGGTGCCGGACACATATTTCCAAAATGACAAGAAATCATTTGTCCATGGGGTGACAGTGAAAAACCGAATGATTCGACTCCATCCAGATGGGACAGTCCTTTATGGCCTACGGTACGTTGGGTTTTTTAATCAGCTATATTACTGTCCTGGCAGAAGTGCAGGTAGTACCAATGCCACTTTTCTCTCCTTTTTCCCGGTTTCTCAGTGCAGCTGTATGAGTCAGCACATACTTCCTCTAGATGACCACATCACACCCAAGAATTTTCCACAGAGCATCAACACTATCTTTAATAACTATATCCATAACAAACACAAGTCTAATGCCTCTTTTTTTTTTTCAGCTCTTCTGAGTATATTTAAACTACTAAAAGAGTTCTTTATTATGGTTATCACCTGGTAATCAATCACAGTTTAGACCGTCACTTACTTCCTTCTAAAATTTCTCCAGCAGCTCTTTAGGACAATGTGAAATTAAAATTTGGAGTCACTTGAAGAAATCTGACCAACATTTGATAGGGAATAAAAAGAAGATATTTCCAAGTTTATGTTGATTATTTAAATATTGTCTATATGTCTGAGTATAGGTTTTCTTTAATCTTCCTTGGTTTGTAATTGCCCCTTCACACCACAACTGCTTCTTCATACAGTGCAACCCATATTCACCCCTGTAGATAAAAATATATTCTAAAGTTTAAACAGGCACAGTCTAATTATAAGGTACACAGCTGTGAAATTAAAACTATGCCAAGCTATTTGTTATGTTGAGAATTTTGTAGAGCCTGAGTAGGGCTTTATTGCATTATTTTTGAAGTTAAGGTAGCTTTGCTTGGAAATAACATTGTCTGTCTGAAACAACCTTTGATCACTCTTGTCATTCAACAATAAAAATAATGTCTGGAGAATATAAACCTGAAAGCATACTTCAGTTTATCAGAAAAAAAGTTTTAAAGCATAAAACTTAGTTGAAATACCTCAAAAATGTACCTAAGATAGAATTAGAAAAAAAACCCAAACTACTGCTGCAGTTCAAAATGAAAATAATATTTGGGAAAGTATAACAGAGCTTTCTGAAAATAGAAATTTGAAATTACCTTTTAGCCTATAAAAACATAACCTTTTAAAACACAGCACTACCCATGCAGAGAAAGCCTTCCAACCTATCAATTCAAGCTTCTCAAGAAACAAGAAATTATTTAAAAATTATTATTTTGGCTAATCGTGAGTTTGCTTTTGAACCTATCAGATTCCCAGGCAGTGCATCAGTTGCTATCAAGAACCACACAGTCAGTTTAATACAGCTAGATCTGTTCTGGTACAGAAAAACTGCTATTTCAGTTGTGAAAAAGAAAACAAGGGACCCATGAGGAATTAGTTGTTCAGCTAAAGGCTGTCATTAACATCTGCTAAACAGAGCATTTGAAAAATACATCTTTCCCATTGCCTTCAGACCTCCTACAGTTCCTTTCAATCAAATTGACTCCTGCAGGACAGTTACCATGAGAGGAATTTTTGGCCTGATAACTTTTCAAAATATTTCTCCTTTTTTTCTTTTTTTCCTTTGAGGCCAGGAAGTAAATTTATTTACATTCTAGAATTTGCAAAGTGGCAAGAATGTGCATTAGAGGCAAGCACTCCCTCACAGACAGTTGTATATACAATATAAACTACATGTTGAAATGTATGCCATGCATATGCTTCCACACACATGCCGTACATAGGATATCAATAACAGTCTTCTGCAGAAATAGCAAAAGAGTCTGTGACACATCTGGTGAACCTGCTGCAAGTCCTCTCACGTGTTTCATCGACAAAGCAGCAGCATGGCCAAGAAGCTGTGACGTTGCCCATGCTTGTCCTCTCAGAGGTGATCAGGCAAACCTCCAGTGCAACAGCAAAGATGGTCAGCTTCACATAACAAGGTTGTTAGTTCATATGATTGAATAACCATTCACATTTGAATAGTTAAGCAACAGTTCTGCAATGCTGCAGCAGCTGCAGCTCTGGACGTTAATACCCCAGCCAATATCTATCACTTCTTGTGGTAGGAAAACCAAACCAAAACAAAAAAGGCAGAAAAACCCACACTAATGTAACGGGCAACCCATATCCCACACACTTGCTGTTCGGTACTATGCAATTCCCTTCTCCTCCCTTACCCCTGCCTCATGCCCTTAACATACACTGCCACAGGAGCAACTCTGAGTCTCCCAGATTTCTGGGCTTCCCCACCTTCTCACCCAGGTTTCTGGACTTCTCCACCTTCTCACCCCAGAGAAGGCATCAGGGTCTCAGGATGCAGCAGGGCCAAGTATTGCTCGATGTGCCCATATCCACTGACAGCATTGTCGTCACCAACCACATGCAGAAAAAAAGTGCTGAGCTGTCAGGTCATTTTCACAGGTTGAGCTGCTGTGCCATGTTTTCTCCGAGGACAAGGCAGCTCTTTAGATGCATCTGGTGAGTAGACTTTGGCTTGTAGTTACCACACATATAGTGTCCCCATCCCACAAGAGGGATCTGATCAAAGACAAAACTAGCAAATGAGCAGAAGAAAAAATGACGTTAAGAAACATTAAAACAATTTTCATACAACTTATTGCTTTAAACTTGCATTAGTGGTCACTTTCCTCATGGTAATAAATATGCTTTTGTGAGCCTATAGTTACCTTTAGATCATATGAACATCAATTTTTTCATATGCTAGATGACACATATGCCTCATAAGAAATAAAACATGAGAAAACACTGCAGAAAATGTTTTTAGGTAAAATTCAGCATTGCCTGTTAGAAATTTGAGCACAACTTCGATCTTAGTCTCACAAGTAGAAAAGAAACCTTGTAGCATATTAACTTGCGCTTAGTTTCTGTGCAGTAGGGAGAGGGAGGACAATATCACCAAACTTCTCATAGGTTGTAACGTGTGAGTTTGATTTTCCTTGCTGAAGACAGATCATTGGCCTGGCATGACTTGAACAAGAAAGACACCACCAATTACACTACAGACCAGGGTCTGAGTTCCCAACAAATTAGGCAGGGTTTTAACCCATCCCTCAAGGATGATTTAAATGCTTCCTTTCCCTCATGCCTCCTATTCCCCAAACAACTTTTCTATTTTCAATTGAGTTAAGGTTTCTGTTCAGGCTCAGATATGAAATTATACTGGCCTCTTTAAAAAGAAATTGGAACAATCATAGCAGCTCTAAATAACCTGCTTTGTTTGCGCCCATGTACACAGCAGTTTGTCATTCATGCAATGTTCAGTCTCAACGGAGTTGAGGAAAAATAAATCAAGGTTAATCATTTGGCTCTTAAGATGAATAAACAATAATACATAATACACTGGACTGGTTTTAGATCATGTAAGAAAGCATTATCACTTCAGTATGCCTCCATTATAGTGTTATTTCTATGATGAACTGAACAACCCCTCTAGCTATTTTTTCCAGTAACTTTCAGCTGCCATGTCCCCACAGTTTAAAAAATGATATATGCTATAAACTTGTGCAGACACAAAATACTCCTAAACCTTCTGCCCTCTAAAACTGTGCATTGCTGTTTTGTCTCTTGCTGAATACTCTACTTCTGTTAATTGTTCATAGTAGTGAAACATATATAACCTTACTAATCAAATAACTCCTTCATCCTTTTACTCAAGCAACCACACACACAAACACATTTAACTCCATGTTATTATTTCCACTGAATTCCATTTCAAGTATGTCAAGGAAGTTGAGTGTCACTGTTAATTATTATGTACCTGAAGTGTGTGATTCTTCAGTTTCTGTCAAGTACTCCCTCCCGCAGCTATTATAATTTACTGTGGTGTAGACACCTGCTTCCTAAGAGAAAGAAAAAACTTCTCTTTGAGTCAATGTGCAAACCTGCAGCACTGTGAGGATGGTGTATGAGACAGTTCTAGCCTGGTCCCAGTACAGCTGGTAAAATACTGAATACTATTTTATTTATTTATACCTAATTTTTCCCCCCATTTTTAGTAAGTGGTTGGATCCCATTAGCTCTAACCCTTTTGGCATTAGCAATGTCTCCCATTACTTTTATTACCTATTCAGGCAAGGTTCTCTAGAAGTCTCTCCTGAATCTCTAGATTCTCAAACCAACACATGCTGTTGCTTCTTCTGCTTCTCATTTCTCACCCTTTTCCAAGTAAGATGCTAGACATGTAATCTGTCTTTGAGATATTTAAGAAAACATTAATAATTTATTGTACTGAATTCTATGTTCAGATTCTTATGTCATGATGTCAGAATGGAAGCTCTGATTTAAATCATCCTTTCCTAGTATTTTATGACACTTCTTAATTCTTCTCAGATTTTCACTAGCAGAACAATGACATCTTGTTGCTTTGGAGACAATCTGTTCTTTTATCATGACATTACCTCAAAATAAACAGCAGAATTTCATCTGGTGTGCTGGAAGGAGCATATCCTTGAAAAGTATTAGTTGTTACAAAGCATAACATACCTTCAGCAATACCTTTACACAGATTTCTCTCCCTTGTGATATTCAGACACCAACATAACTTCCATTAGAGCAAGTCTTTATTTCAAGGGAGGGAGACTGAGCATATCATGACAAGATGTGAAGATCTGGCTTGGAGCATTGAAAACTTTTGGTTTCAGTGAGACCATCATCTTTAAACTGCTACAGCAGAGGATGCAACTTTGCTAGATGCTGCTACAACTGCAAGAGGACAAGGGGAAGAATGATCTTTGCCTTCAATGTAAGGACTTATTTCACCACTTCTTACACAAGTAAAATCTTCTGTGATGCAAACACTGGCAAACAAATCCACCTACCTCCAACCAATTCACAAATGCAAATTGACCGATGCAACATTGCACTTACTAACCACTTATTCATGCAATATCCATGGAAGCCCATCTAGCATATCATAGAGGTGGAATACAAAAAAGCTATATTTAAATGTGGAATGTTTAGGTTTTATATATAATCTTAAAAGTGAATTTTAGTGGGAACTTCCCTTCTTGACTGCCTCTATTTTGGTGATGTAGCCGTGAATGTTACTAAAGAAATTAGCCAGACCCGTGTTTACATCTTTTATTACAGGGAATCTTAATAGTTTGTGGGTTGCTTTTGTATTGCCATGATTTGGGGCTATGGAGTTTTGTTTTTCCTCTAAACACCTTCAGGAATTTTCTTAAAGAGTCAGTTATTGAGCCCTTTTGAGGACAACCCATCATGTCAACAAGTAGCCCACTTAAACTGGTACTCAATAGATTGTCCTACTTGTGCTATTAAACAGCTCCAGCCAAAAAAAAGACTGCAGTTTATTCTAAATGATAAAAAAATGTCATCTAGTGAAATGAAAAGTTACACTTGTTTCACTTCAGAAAAATACAGAACAAATTATAAGTATTATTTTATAAATATAATTAATAATAAATATAATTAATATATAAAAATATTTCTTCCATGTATCAATGGCAAAAGATTTAGCAGTGAGCATTTTAAGACTCAACCAATTTGGGACTTCCTTCATATTTTTAAAACCTAAAGATATACAAGAACTTTGCAAAAATAATCAATTTTTCACCATTTTTTCCACCTCTCAGAACATTTCAGTCTCAGAGGATCAGTTTTCAGGATTCACAGTCAAATGAAGACATTCTCAGTGTATAGCCAGTAGGAAGGGGTAGGGGTTAGGGGACACCATTCACATGCACATTGTGGACGCCTGTTCAGCCTGTCACAGGTCACACTTCACCTGCTGCAAACTTTCTTACAACAGGCCTTTCAACAAGCATATGTGCCTGCTGGGCAGTCAGCACGACCCCTTATCACAGGCAATGCACTGCAAGGAGCATTTCCTCAACTCAAAAGGGAAAAAAAGGGAAGAAGAGGACACAGCAAACTGATCCTGAGGCAGAAGAATTTCTTTGTCCCTCCAGCTGCTTGCAGACTGTTTGAATTGTCTGTGTCACTCTGTGAATCCTATTGTCATCTCCTCTTCCTAGTCTGTAACCCAATCCTTGGCCATGACATGGCTGGTGTAAGATCATCACAGAATCATAGCATTGTTTAGGGTGGAAAAGACCTTGGAGATCATCAAGTCCAACCACTAACCTGATATTGACAAGTCTAGCACTAAACCATGTCCCTAAATGCCACATCTACATGTCTTTTAAATACTTCCAAGGATGGTGGCTCCACCATTTCCCTGGGCAGTCTGTTCCAATGACTGACCATCACCCTTTCAGTGAAGACAATCTTCCTAATATCCAATCTAAACCACCTCTGAGACAGCCTGAGGTCCTTTCCTCTTATCCCATCATTTGTTACTAGATATAAAAGACCAGCTCCCCACACTGCTACAACCTCCTCTCAGGTAGTTGTAGAGGGCAATAAGGTCCCCCTTGAGCCTCCTTTTCTCCAGGCTAAACAACCCCAGCTCCCTCTGTCGCTCCTCATAAGACTGGTGCTCCAGACCCTTCACCAACTTCATTGGACACACTCCAGCACCTCAATGTCTTTCCTGTAGTGAGGGGCCCAGAACTGGATGCAGGATTCAAGGTATGGCCTCATCAGTGCTGAGTAGAGGGGGACAATTTCTGCCCTAGTCCCCCTGGCCACACTATTTCTGATACAGTCCAGGATGCCATTGGCCTTCTTGGCCCCCAGGCACACTGCTGGCTTGTACACAGCCAGATGTCAACCAGCACCCCAGGTCCTTTTCCAGTGGACAACTCTCCAGCCACTCTTCCCCCAGCCGGTAGTGCTACATGGGGTTGTTGTGACCCAAGTGTAGGACCCGACACTTGGCATTGTTGTACGTCATCCAGTTGGCCTCAGCCCATCAATCCAACTTGTCCAGATCCCTCTGCAGAACCTTCCTGCCCTTCAGCAGTTCAATGTTCCTGCCCAACTTGGTGTTGTCTGCAAACTGACTGAGGGTGCACTCGATCCCCTCATCCAGATCATCAGTAAAGATCTTAAGCAGGACTGGCCGCAGTATTGAACCCTGGGAAACACCACTCATGATCAGCGCCAACTGGATGTAACTCCATTCACCACCACTCTCTGGGCCTGGCCACACAGACAGTTATTTACCCAGTGAACTGTGCACCTGTCCAAGCCATGAGCAGACAGTTTCTCCAGGAGAATGGTGTTAGAGAGAGTGTCAAAGGCTTTTAATAAGGTCCAAGAAGACAACACCTGCAGCCTTTCCCTCATCCACAACATGAGTTACCTTGTCATAGAAGGAGGTAAAGATATACCTTTCATAAAGCCACATGGCTGGGCCTGATCTCATGGTTGTCCTGCACACGTTATGACATGCAAGATGATCTGCTCCATGACCTTCCCTGGCATTAAGGTCAGGCTAACGGGTCTTTAGTTCCCCAAAACTTCTTTAAGGCCCTTCTTGTAAAAGAGTGAGCAATGACCAGTACCAAAACTGGGAGAAAGCAGTTGGCACC